ACCGCGTGAGCCGCGAGCTGCACGAGTCATGGTTCTCAGGCCCACAGTCTATCAACAAGCGCAACGATTTGGCGTTCCCATACGGAGACATTGCCTGAGAAGGAAAATTAGTCACGTGGGAAGGGCCGGGCCCAGCAAAAAATCTGACGACAGCGTATCGAATTTTCGCGCAATTATCAAGTCTGCATCCAACACGGACAAGGAAATCGCAGCGATTAATGATGCGAAAGCGAACTGCCAAACCATCATCGCACCAATTACGACCCCAAATGGTGGTTTCAGAAGCTGACAATTATAGTACGCATGTGGATGGCCGCTATGAACTATAAATACCGTGCAATCTCTGCATGTATCACACCAATCTGCGCATGCCTAACACTATCCTACGGTTTCTAATGATTAAGGCTTCTCGACGGAATCCAAAACGTGAGGAAAATAAAATTCTTGTTCCAATGATCGCATCTTCTTCTTCTTCTTCTTCTTCTTCTTCTGAGCACCATGAATGTCAATAAGAAGTATCGATTAGTTACTAAGTATATTAAAAGTTCCCTTAACTGTCTTCTGTCCTGACTTATTAGGATTATTACCAGATGTAGGAATTCAACTTACCCGTGGCTTCTCCTGCAAATTACTCGCTTGCACACTTGTGACTACGACTTCAGTTGGAGGAGTCGGATTTTCCAACATCAGCAGGTGTGCCCTGAAGGCTGATCTGGCAGCAAAAGCCTTTTCAATCATCCTTCTGATCCGCATAAGGCAGTTATTCAGTCCATCGATGCGGCCGTGTTCAGCGACAATTTGGTCGTATTCGGATATCAAGGCCTCAATTTGGGGAATAGAGGTGGTTAGCTGACTGGCCTCCGCCTTGTCCACCATTTCTGCAGGCGGGGATGAAGTTTGGCCACAGACTTGGTTGAGCTCGGCGTAGACGCGCTAAATAGCACGAGGTACACACAAAACAACAGACGGGGGGGCTAGGCAAATGTCAGATTAGATGGAAAAGTGTGCTGTCGAAATAAAATCACTATCTTCCTTTTTTGGGCTACACAGAAGCAGCTCGTCGTCAAGCCCTTAAATTGTTACCTTGAAGAAGTCATTGAAATGCTACGGCCGGTTCAGAACTGGTAAAACAACTCCTGTATAGAATCGATAGCGACTATGCGTCAAGTCTGGGGCGTCGAACTTCGAGGTCAAGCCGGAGTCGACGGTGCAAAGAGAGGTAATACCGAAGATTGCACCTATGGATACTTAATTACTAAAGATTTGCCCTTAATTTTCGAAGGCAGTTTAAAGCAAAATTAACCTCGTGAGACTAATTGAAATATGCTACCGGAAGTCGTACTCCATCTTAGTTACAGTACGGTCTAGAATTTGTGTAACGTGCCGACATATGCGAAAAATTGGTACTCCTTTTCTAATCGGCATTAAGTAAGGTTATAATACTGATTATCGTGTAGTCTCTTCTCAAGTCATTTCAGTTGAAGTAGGATGCCGGCTTTTTAACGAGCTTCTTCCTGACCGGTAACAATACCTATGTATAGTAAAAAATGGCTAATAAAGGAGTATGCGTTTTTATCCTTGATTTTGACTGCCTTTATAAATGCAAGCATATATTTTATGGAAAACATGCACGAAAAAATTATTTCTTGTACTCATTTGGTAGCAAATTACGCCATCTTAAAATTTTGGACTTAAAGATAGGTTTTCTTTCGGTTTTAAAAAAGTTTCTAAATTGCCGAATAATTTTTAAACCTGTTGACCGCCACCCTTGAATTTAAGGTTTAAAAACTGCATGCTATGTACATCCTGTTTAAGGAAAAGTACGTTTTCGCCTACGTTTTGAGGAAGAAGTCATATAGTTCTCATAAAATATTGCAACAAATGTGGAACATGATGGATAAATTATTGACATACTACTTAAGTAGCTACTTTTTACGGTACATGCATTTAGTTAGTGGTCAGTAAGAAGCTCGTTAAAACGCCGGAATCCTACCTTGACTTAAATGAATTCGGAATAGAATACACGAAAATCAGTATTACAACCTTACTTAATGCCACCTAACGAATGAGGATCAGTCTTTCGCATATGTCGGCATGCTACACGAATTCTAGGCAGCACTGTATTCTTCTTCAACTTTCCGACAAACAGGATTTCATTCTAAATACAATCTCCCTAGTAATGTTAGCAAACTTCAAATACGGAGTAATAATTACTTTTTACAGCCGCCATCGACCATTCAAATGCATGATTAAATAAAATTTTTTAAATATGAAGTAGGGAAAATTAAATATGATGTTAAGTTCAAAGTGGACATACAAGCTGACTGGATGTTCCTTACCGAACCCTAATCAACAGTTATCATACAGATTAAAAAAGAGCTATAGCAATTGTTAACATCCAATCACGTCCTCACGGTCCGGAAACACATTATAATTAACGCGCGGAGGGACAGAGTTTGTTGTTTGCGATCGTCGGTGACCCCCAAGGTCAAATTACAGTTATTACGACCTCTGAATTGCTTATTTCCCGTTTTTTCTATGTAGTGATTGCGCTGCTGGTTGTTTTAGTTTTAAAAACATGCATGTGTCTGATAAGCTAAGGCAAGTTGTTAACTAAAATGACCATTGAAAATTTTGCCAAATATTGATTCCTGGCGTTTTTTACGGTCTCAATAATATGGAATACAACTCTTCCACTGCCGGTCGAATTGATAAAAAGCCAACTGAATAAAAAGTCTCAACGGCTTCTTCTATTCGTCGTAACCCGTAAGGTCATGCAGCAGACATGCCAACTCTTAAAGAACCGATTAAACATGCAACTCCCCTCCAGACGAAGGGTCGACTGATTTTGCGATTCCTTCTTTCTTAGATTCTGCCAGTATCAACAATTTTTGTGAACAAATTACTTTTTTGCGGCAGCTAAAATAACCGCAATGCACCATTTAAACTTTGGCGATATTATAGACTTTGTCTAAT